AGATGTCTGAAAGGCAGTTGGAGACTAGAGGTCAGCAGAGAGTTTAGGACTGGATAGGTAGATTTGAGAATCATCAGCATTAAATCCATAGGAGTTGATAAAATCACCAAGTGAAGTCATATAGAGGGAGAAGAAAAGAGAGCCCAGGAGAGAGCCCTGTGGAACACCTGTGGTTAGCACAATCTGGATGAGGGTCCAGCAAAGGAGACGGAAAAGAAGCAGTCAGATAGGAGAGAGTGGTGTCCCAAAAACCTAGAGAGAAAAGGATGGTTGGATGGTTTCTGGTCTTTGTTCTCCAGGAGGACCAAAATGACACCACTATGTTAGAGTCAAGTTACAGTGTGTCCGACTGTGGCTGATCAGACCAATACAAGCCAGGAGTGCTCTACCACAGGTTGGACAGAAATAGTCCATGTGAACATTTGGGGTGGAGTCCATAAATTTGTGCATCTCGAAGTTCTTTCGAGCTACTTCAGTTCTGCTTCAATCTTAGAGCACAGACAGCACTTTCTCTGATGAGGGCATGCCATGCTGGAAGGTCATGTGCCAGTGTCTCCTATGTCACACAATCAATTCCAAAGATCTTAAGAGAGACCTTGAGAATGCCCTTGTATCGCCTTTTCTGACCGCCATGTGTGAGTTCTCCATAAAATAGTCTTTTTGGCAAAGGCAAGTTTGGCATTTGAACAACGTGGCCAGCCCATTGGAGTTGTGCTTTCTGCACTAGAGTTTGAATGTTTGGCAGTTAAGTTCGAGAAAGACCTCAGTGTCTGGTCTTTTATCCTGTCAGGTGATCTTCAGAATCTTCCTAAGACAATTCAAATGGAGTGAGTCAGTTTACTGGTATGGCACTGGTATACTATCCAGGTTTCACAGGCATGCAACAATGAGGTCAGCACAACAGTTCTGTAGACCTTCAGTTTGGATCTTCAGTCTGGGATGAAAAAGTTTGAAGACCCACTGTGGACAGTGGGATAGATATAGTAGGATTACCTAGCAACAGTGAGGGCCCAGGTGAGGTTATGTAAAGTAAATTCATAGTGGACCCAGTCAGGAGGGTTGCGCGATTTTCTTCACCTTTTTTCAGCATTTGTGTAGAAGGGAAGGCAATGGATGATGGGAATGATCCAAGGCTGAGGTTTGGCAGAGCACAATTATAGATATAAGGGGCCAAGAACTCAAGAGAAGATGACAGTTTAGTATTGAATTGGTTCACCAGAGGGTCAAGATGGGGAAAAGAGAAGAAAATGGCTAGTGTGGCAGCAATAGCTTGAAAGAGAACTGAGGAATTGAGGGATTGGAGGCTGCAGTGTGGATGAAGAGTGGAGTTTGGTATGGGAAGGCAGAGGGAGAGGTGGAAACTTAGGAGATTACAGTCCGATTAGGAGGTTTCAGAATTCTTGAACATGGAGGTGGTGCATTTGTGGGTGAGAGCAAGATGAAGGATGTGATTATCTTTGCATATGGCTGAGGTGGGATGGAGGAGTAGGTCATGGGACATTAGTAGATTGAGGAACTGAGTAGTTAAGGTGATTGAAGAAGTCAATATGTATAATGAAGTCCCATAGTCTTCATATAGTGGATTGGTTAGAAATCTGGGGCGGTGAGGGTAACCCCACAATAAACTGAGAATTCTACTACCCAGTGTCGATCTACAGATCTCCCTGGGCATGCAGGGTCAGCTTCTCTACTTCCCAGTCCCTCCTTGGCTAGGCTTTCCAACTCTCTCTTCTTAGAGTTCTGGGTTGGAACTCTGGAGGCTGAGCCAGACAGCATTCAATAAGCAACGTGGAATATGGAGTATTGGACTTGGAATTATGAAGACCTGGCTTCAAATCCTGCCTCAGACACTTATTAGTTGAGTGACTCTTTGTGCCTCAGGTTTCTTATCTATAAAATGAGGTGGTTGAACTCAATGACCTGTAAGGTCTCTTGGAGCTCTAAGATCCTATAATAAAAACTCTGGGTTGCAGAGTTTCTGGAAGGCAGGGAAGCAACTGGGCCTTGAGTAAGGAAGTCCAGAGTTCAAATCCAACCTCAGACACTTACTTAGCTGTGTAACCCTGAATGTCACCTAATCTCTGTCTGCCTCAGATTCCTCAATTGCAAAATAAGAGTAGTCATGGTCCCTACCTCTGCAAGGGTTGTTTTGAGGATCAACAGCTTAGCACAGTGCCTGGTACATAGTAGATGCTTAATAATGCTAGTTCCCTTTCTTCCCTCCCCTGGGAAGTAGAATGAATGATTGCACAGGGTGGTGGGGAAGATGGCAGTGGGGTGGGAGAGTGTGTCCTAGAGATGTGTGAAGAGGGTAGGATCTGTTTCCCAGAGGATGGAGACAAAGGAGGTTGGTGAGATAGAAAGTCTGGGCTGCAGCATGGGTAATGTACTGTAATGGGTAATGGATATTGTTTGTTTACTCTACTGCTGAATATGTTGGAATTTGGGCTTTCTCCCCAGGTCCCACCTCAGCACTGAGGATGAGCCTAACTACATTGGAAAGTGAGGACATCCACTAATCTCTTTCTCCTCTCCATCCCATCAACTGGGCCTCAGAGGGTCACATAGCCCCTGAAAAAGAGGAGGTAGAAAAGCCTTCCTGTGATTGAACTGAGAAGAGAACTTAGGACTCAGAGACCCAGACTTCTCCTTGCTTCCCTTACAGAAATCCTTTAGCAGCTCTCTGCAAAAAATGGAGATTCCATAATTCTTCAAACCAGGTTGTAGGGGAAGACCTGAGCCCCTAGGTGGAGCTCAATCAGCTTTTTGTTTTGTTTTGTTTTGTTTTGTTTTGTTTTGTTTTGTTGTTTTTTGGAGTTTAACTCAACTCAGTCTGCCCAGGCTAACTGATATTCCACCCTGCTTGCTTTTCCCTACCCTTCTCCCAACACCCTGAGCCCAGTGAATTCAGGATTCTCCAGGAGCAAGGAAGGGGAATCTCTGTGTCTTTAAGCATATAGTAGGTGCTAGATGGTGCAGTTGATGGTGCAGTCTTCCTGGAGTCAGGAAGACTCATCCTGCTGAGTTCAAATCTGGTCTCAAACACTTGCTAGCTGTGTGATCCTGAGTAAGTCGCTTCAGTAAATCACCTGTTTGCCTCAGTTTCTTCATGTGTAAAATAAGCTAGAGAAGGAAATGGCAAACCATTCCAGTATCTTTGCCAAGAAAACTTCAAGAAAGGGGTCATGAAGAGTCAGACATGACTGAATTGCAGTAACAGGTGCTGAATAAGTGATTGTTTCCTTCCTTCCCTCCCCTGGGGAAGCAGACTAGTGGCACAGGGTGGTAGGGAAGGGGGATGTAAAGTGTAGCCCAGAAGCAGCAACAGGAAGGGATCTTCCATTTCTCAGAGGATGGGGAAAAGGGAATATGTAAGTGATTTGAAAAGCTGCACCACAGAGTCAATGCCTCAATTCACTGGAACCCCAGATCTGGAGTGAGAGGACCTGGATTCAAATCCTGGCTCTGCTACTTACTACCCATCCTATTTTAAGTCACTTAACCCTTCTGGGCCTCAGTTTCATCATCTGTAAAATAATTGAACTAAATAAGATGACTCCTGGGGTCCTTACCTGCTCCAAATCTATGATTCTATGACTTAGGTGTCATGAGGGAAGGCACTAAGGTACAACAGAAGAAGGTCTGAGTTCAAATCCCCTCTGCCATTTTCTGAGTGACATATGGGAAGTTGCTTCCCCAGTCAGGACCTCAGTTTTCTCACCTGTAAAAGGAAAGGATTGGATTAAATTACCTCTGGATCTAAATCCAGTATTTGGCATCAAGGGTATCTACTTTGTGAGAGGGGTTCTGTTCTTGTCCAGCTACAGCCCCTGTGAAAAAATTTAGAATGCTAAAAGTGGAAAGGACCAAAGGGGTCATCTAGGCCAACTCATTCACTCTTTGTTCCCACTTCATTTTATTTTTTTCAACGTACAAAAATCTATTTTTCAGTGTGCAAATATCTGTCGATCCTCAAACCACCTCTTTTACAAAGGATTAAACACGATTAGAAGAGAAGAGACGCCTTTCAGGGCTCTCCATCCCTAGAGTGTCAGGAGAATGTTCTCCCTTCCTCTCCAATTCGATGAATTTGGAGTCTGAGAACTTGGATTCCAACACTGGCCTTACCTGTGTGATACTCAGTAAGTCACGCCTCTCTCTGGGCTTGAGTTTCTTTTTCCGTAAAATGGACTTCATTTGGACACAAGGCAGGCAATCTTTATCTGTACATACCTACTGTGTGCTGAGAGCACCGTGCTAGGTACGGTGGAGAAGAGCTAGATGTGAGCTAAGACAAAGTCGGCCCGTCTGATCACAGCCATAGAGCTGGGAAGCACCTCTACATTTTACACTACAGAGGTGAAGTCGTTTGCCCAAAGTCCCTGCTTTCCTCCACGGTCTCTTCCAGGTCTAAACCTTAACATCCTGCTCCAGGGTGCCCCATGGCCCCCTCACCGAGCCCCCCCTCCCAATCAGCCCTTGCCCCTGCAATAGGCTGCACCCCATCTGCCTGGCTGAGGTCCGCGCGCTGCCCCTCCCATCCCTGGATGACTGTTTGCAAACAAGTGCAGGTCCCTCAGACTCTGGGTTTCCTATGAGTTTCCCTTGATTTTCTTTCTCGGGGTTTTTTTTTTTTTCTTGAATGAAATTCCTGCCAGCTAGGAAGGAAGGAGGGAGAGGGGAGAGAGCCAGAGCGTAGAAACTTTCCTTGACTCCTCCTCCGCCTGTGTCTCTCTCCCTTGGCAAGCCCAGCCCGTGAAACTCCAGAACGAAGATCACTCAACAATGCCTGCCCCTCTCTGACTGCGCCGTCCCCACGCGCTGCGCCCTCCGAGCAGCCGCTGCCTCCGCTGCTGTCACCGAGCCCGGGACTGCGCCTGTTGCGACAGGGAGGGAGACCGCCCGGGGTCCGAAGGCTGGCTGGGCTCCGGAGAGGGAAAGGGCGAGGGAGCTTTGCCCGCCGTGCCCGCCAGGTGCCCTTCAACCTGCCGGGCGCCAAGATGCCCACCCTGACCCCGCTCTGGGCCGTGTGCCTGTATGCTGTCGTGTGCCATGGCGGGCCCCCCCAGCTGGGGCCAGCGCCTGCCTGCCCGGCTCCGTGCCACTGTGAAGAAGATGGCATCATGCTGTCGGTAGACTGCTCCGAGATGGGACTTTCCACGGTGCCTGGGAACCTGAACCCTCTGACGGCGTACCTGTGAGTATTGGTCTCTCATTTCCTTCCTTTCTCCTTTGGCTCGGTCACTTCTGCCCTGGGGGCACTGCCAGGCAGCCGCTTGCTCTCTGTGCCCCCTGCCTGGGGCAAAGACTCCGCGATGTCCCCTGTGTCCTAGGGGTGCACCCTGGGGCATCCTTGCTGGGACATCCCCCACTCTATCCTCTCTCTCTCCAAGCTACTTGCTTGGAATTCTCTACTCCTGCTGGGAGAGACTCAGATTTACATTGGGAATCCAGTTGGCTTCTCAAGTTTGGCAAAACTTAAGCTAGCAAAAACAAGGTGTCCTTGCTCTCCTAAATTTTGATTTTTCCAGTTGGCTAAGGTTCAGAGTCATGACCCTGAGCACCTGGATCCCATGAGCTCCCTCTCCAGAGAGGATAGTGCAATGTAATAAAAAGAGCTCTGGTCCGGGGTTCAATTCCCATCCCTAATGCTTACTACCTGGGGTTCCCTGGACAAGTCACCTCATTTCTCTGGGTTTTGGTTTTTCTTTCTATGAAATGAGGAGGTTGGAGCAGAGTGGGAAGTGGGTATCAGGGAAAGCAGCATTGCTGTAGTTGCCAAGAGGACCCAGGACTCTGGTCTGGAGGGGCATGAGTAGTGACTGAGCCACTATTTTCATTTCTTGAGCACAAGGTTTGAGGGGGAAGAGATAGAGAGGTAACTTAGGGCAGGACCGCTTGTCTTAAATGGGGTGTGGGTCTGATGAGTGAAGGGCAAGGTAATCTGTTCATTTGTCCAGGGCAAGGAGACAGACTTTACGGAGCTAACCCAGGGTACTAGGGCCTGGGTATTGAAGGCACATACTCAATCCCTGTTTCCTTGGTAGAGGGGCCCTCAGGGCACCCTCTGACCCTGGCCCTCCCTCTTCTCCCAAGGGCCTCTCTGCAGTTGTGTCCCAGGGGGGAGGCCTCCTCAGAGACACTAATTTGTGGGCAGACGAGGTTGAAAACCAGAGAACCATTTTTAGCATCTGAGATAGCCTGGGGAAGAGGGGGATGTGAAGGAGAGCCTGCTAAGGGTAACTCACCTCAGTCCAACTGCATAGGACACTACAACCTGGAGAGAAAAGGGGCTTTGCCCCCAAGCCTCCCTGCCCTTGGCTGTGGTTCCTAGTGGTAAGTACAGAAGGGGGAAAGATTGGCTTTGTCCAGTAATGGTGCCAGGATGTTGTAGGGGTGAATGGCTAGATGTCTATCCCCTACTCTATACTCTTTCCGAAGTCCTGGAGAAATGATCCTCCTCTCCTTTCCAGAGAGCTCTAGCACTCTCCTTCCAGAGCAGGTAAAATTGGCAAAGTACAAGGCATTGAGAGAAAAAAGACTCTTGGGAAGACTGGTTAAGGTTTGGGTAGGTCTGATATTGGTGTGTGGGTGTCAACTTCCTCCATGACGCAGGAGGTGGCTAGTAGAAAAAATGTCATGGTATAGTGGAAAGAGCACTGGCATTGGAGACAGAAGAGCTGGATTCAAATTCTACCTCTGAGACTTACCTGTAGTATGACATCAGACAAATCACTTAACTACCCATGGGCCTCAATTTCCTGTAAAGTTAGGGGACTGGACTAGATGACCTTTGAGCTCTAGATCCCTGATCCTCTGATAAAAAGATGCTTCCTCCTACTTCCAAAACCTTGGTCCCCAGGGCTTTTGAAAGGTCAGTGGAGCTGAGGTGTCCATGCTGAGCAGTTCCTAGGAGTTGGATAGCAGAGGAGATGATCAGAGCCAGTCTCCAGGGAGAAGTAAATCTACTCATTGCCTCCCAGTCTTTTGGGGGAGAGATTTAGAAAGCCCCCTGCCCCCCCCAACCTCTCCAGCCTGAGAATTGCAGGCTTCAAGATCTCTTAAAGGTCCTGGGTTCAGGGCAGAAGCTAGTTGGGTTGCTAGCTTCCCATGCCAGACCTCTAGCACCTTTCTTTCAGGGTTTCTGGCATTCTGCCCCTTCTCTCCCCCAGAGCTCCATTTGATCATTATGTCCTCCAAGGAATCCAACTTAGCCCACATGGGCAGGGGCCAAGTGACTCCTTCTCAGTAAGAATACCAGGAATGGAAAGGCCAACACTTCCACTTAGGGACTAGGGATCATTGGGATGCTTTTTTCCCACCAACTCCCTAAACCTTTCAAATGATGTTAGTCCTTAGTGCTCAAGGAAACTAGCTTTTCTTGATCTTTTTTTCCTGACTGGTCCCTGTTGACTTGAAGCTTCAGGACAGACTATCTCAGCTAGCTCCAGGCTGGATCATAGAGTGGAAAGTTCTCTCCCAAAGAGATGATAGATTCCAAGACAGTGCCTGGAATTTAACAGGAACCCTCAGAATCTGGGAGAGAAAGGGGACACAGAATTATTGCTGCATGTCTTCACTGTCCTTGCTTAGGCTTGCCTGGAGGTATCAGGTTTGGAGAATAGGACCCTTCTTTGTTTCAGCCCTCACCAGATGAACAAATAACAGCCCATTGGTGGTGGTGGGGAACAGGGCAGGATGCAGAGGGGATAGTCTAGTTTTGTTGAAGGATGTGGGCAGTCTAGAGTTGGAAGTGATGTTAACTGCTCCTGTGCAATTCCTCAATTTAAAAAATGAAAAAGTTGAAGGTGAAATGACATATCAAAGGTCCCTCAGTGGCAGAGCTGGGATTTTGACTCTAAATCAGATGTTCCTTCCCCAAGCATCAATTATGCAGATGCAACAGCATCAGATATGGTGTAGGGGTGGAGAAAGATGTGTTTTATCCTTTTCTAAATGGGATGTAGAGGAGAGTTCTCAACTTGAAGGAAGCGAGGTTACACGGTAGATAAAGCTTGGGGCCTGGAGTAAAGAAGACCTGAATTCAAATCCACCCTCAGATTCTTACTTAGCTGTATGACCCTGGACAAGTCACTTAACCTCTGTCTGTTTCAGTTCCTTCAACTGTAAAATGGAGATAATAATAGCACGTACCTCCCAGGGTTATTGTGAGGATCAAATAAGGTAATATTTGTAAAGTGCTTCGAATGGTGCCTGGCACAAAGAAGTAGCTTCATAAATGCTGGTTTCCATCCTTCCTGTTTAGGTCTCACATTTGGAATAAACCTGAAGGGGTGGGGAGCCTGCAGCCTCAAGGTCACCTGTGGCCCGCTAGGTCCTCAAGTGCAGTCCTTTGACTGAATCCAAACTTTGAAGAACAAATCCCCTTAGTAAAAGGATTTGTTCCATAAAACTTGAACTCAGTCAAAAAGCCGCACCCGAGGACCTATAAGGCCACATGTGGCCTCAAGGCAGAAGGTTCCTCACTCCTGGAAGGTAACTGATGGACCTCCTTGTTGGGAAATTCTTTTAATGTCTTTCTTAAACTCTTGCTGCAATTTCAATCCATTTCCTCTTGTTCGGTTACACTTTGATTTTTAGAGCTGTTAGGGATCTTAGAGATAGTCTACTCCAGATGAGAAAACTGAAGACCAAAAAGGCTGTGACTTATTCAAGATTATCCATAAGCTGAGGGTAGATTCCCCCCAACCTCTCACACCTCATTTCCTAATGCTTCAAAAACACAACACTGTCTCTTAAATGTCTAGCTCTCAAAGACAAAGACAACTGCTATGAGAAGGCATTGCTTCATCCATTGTGTTTGTGTCTCCAGTGCCTAGCGCGGTGCTTGGTACAGAGTGGGTGCTTAATAATGCTTGTTGATTGGTTAAGGTGTCTGTTCTGTACACAGTAGGGGCATCAAAGGATGAGTGGACCAGCCACCTTGGCATAAGAGTAGGGCTGAATGAATGCTAAGTGAATTGAACCAGGGAGAGGCAGCTTGATGTGGAGAGAGGGTTGGCTCCAGAGTCAAAGGATCTGGCTTTGAATGCAACCTCAGTCACCTATCTATCACCTGTATAGCCTTGGACAAGTTACTGGATTGTCCAGCCCTAATCTCTCTCTGTTAAATGAGGAGGTTGAATTTGGTGACTTCAGAGATCTCTTCCGCAGAGAGAGAAGCTCTATGGGGAATGAGTTGTGGGGCATTTATTTTAGTCCATAATTGATAAAATAATTATGAGCTTATAGGTCCTTGAAGAAGATGAAACACTAGAGGAAGCATTTTTGATAAGGAAGTTCAGTCTCTGATCATTGAGGCATTGAAAATAGCATTTCAAGGTTGACAAAGTGCTAACTTCACAAGAACCCTCTGAAGTAGGTAGGGAGAAGAACTGGATCTATGATCTCACTGACATGGGGGACTTCCAGGTGAGGAAATTCTTTCTACCAGAGCAGATCAATGCCTCTGTAACTTGTAGTCCTAGAGTTGCTTAGAACACAAAAAGGTGAAGTCACTTGCTCAGGATTAAATAACTTTTATGTATCAAGTCCCAGAAGCAGGACTTGAACCCAAATCATCTTGACCCTTTATCTACTATACCCCTTTGCCTCTCAGTGTAAGCATGATTACCACCATGTTGTAGACGACGAAGCCCAAGTTGCTCATGGGCAAAGTCCCTCCATTGGGCGGTGACTTGCCCATGGTCAAGAGAGGCTAGTCAAGTGTCAGAGTATAGATGTGATTCAAGTTTTCTGACTCCAAATCCAGTGTCCTTCCCAATATTGATGTGTGGTAGGGAAATATATTTATGCGTATGTGTGTAGGGGAATCTTTTATTTCTCATCTCATGGAATAGATATTTTATGATGAAATAAAACAAACTGGATGACCTTTGGAGAACCTTTAGGAGAAGTATCTCCGTAACCCCTGGCAGACCATCTCATTCCATACCAAGTTGGACTTTGAGAGGACTATTTTTTTCCAGCCATACTTAAGCCAGCCTGTAAGGAAAAGGCTTTCTCCTACTTGTCAAGACCTTGAGAGGAAGAGGTGCTATAGCATCTCCTCTGAACATTTTTTTCCAGAGGTAAGAATCCTTCTTAAGAGTTAGGAAGTTCTTCCTTGTGTCTAACCTGAACTTTGCCACTCACACCCAATACATATGACACTTTGGGGCCCACCGTCTATCCTGC